AAAAGTTACAAATTTTTTCAAATAAGTAAAATGTAAATACTAAATTAACATTAGAGAGTCTCACTCTCTTAAGGAAGCGCCACATCAACAATTACAGAAAAACAATGATTCTCCTTTGTATATATGATGCTACTTGATAATAGGAGTGTTTTGTGAATACCAACTCACCTATGTGCCTAAGTGATGTATTCATATAGTTTTATATATATCACCTAGGCTCCTAGATGAGTGGGTATTTGCAATGTACTCCTCCTATCAAGTGTACATGTGTATATGCGTGTCTATGGAGGGTGGAGGGGGTTGGGGTTGCATTTGAATTAGCTAATCAACGGTCCGTTGAAAGTGGAATGGTGATGGGGATGTGATCGATCGATGGTGCGATAGTACTTTCAACTCTTCAAGTCTGATGAAGATGCCTTATTATGGGTTGGCCCTTTGTTTATCCTTGTCATTTTTTAATTTGAGATGTTAAAGCTCAATTCAGCTCGATTCATTTGTAGCCTACAAATCTTATAGATATAGAAATTTTGAAGATAATAAATCTTCTTAGACAAATAGCGTTAATCTTAACACTAAAGGAATACATTGATTTTAATTTTTCATAATATTTGAATAAAGTTATTCAAATAGATTAATTATTTTTTTCAAATGTAAATGATTAGTTTGTTCCAAATTTCATTTATAATTATTAAAATGCTTAAAATTATTATGAGTTATATAATATCTAACTTAAAAAAAAAAAGTTGTTGGTTGCCTAGTGGATTATAGTATACAAATTCATCACATGGAATGATATCAACATAGTTTGACATAAAGAGCATACATATTTTTATTTCCTTTATTAAATTCTTTGGTATTCTTCTCTCTTTTATTCTAATGAGCTATCCAAATATATATATATATATAGATCATCCAAATGAGTGATATGATATTTGATTTCCAAACAAGAATGACAGCACTAGTTAAAAAAAAAAAAAAAAAAAAAAAAAAAAAAAAAAAAAAAATCCAAATATATATATATATATAGATCATCCAAATGAGGTGAGTATGATATTGATTTCCAAACAAGAATCGAAACAGCACTAGTTAAAAAAAAAAAAAAAAAAAAAAAAAAAAAAAAAAAAAAAAAAAAAAAAAAAAAAAAAAAAAAAAAAAAAAAAAAAAGGGAAAAGAAGAACAAGAATAGGTTCATTTTCATATGCCCTAAAAATGGTCTTACTAGTGAATGAAAGCTAATCCATGAGCTGGGTTCTAAATAAATGGCCAAGTGTTCATAAAAAATTCCTCTATTGAATTTCCTTGAAGTTTCAAAGCAAGTGCCAAGTGCTAGTCTTTTTTCCTTCATTCCTTTCCTTTTCAAATTCTTTATAAATAGAATTTATTTACTCAATTTGAAATTTAACTTTTGAGAATGTAGTTTCTTTATTTATAAATTTTCTAATTTTAGGTCAGACATTGATGTTTTCTTTTTACCAAACTTGAAAGATAAATTTATTATAATCTATCAAATATAATTTAGTGATAGTGCATTTTTCGACTGAAAATAAAAAAATTTATGATTTTTGTTTTGATGTTATTTGTGTTAGAAATTAAAATGGTGAAGGCGAAGGATTATTTGAAGAAGTAGGGAGAAAGATGCCGTATGGACTTTTAGGGTGGAGAGAATTTCTCGGAATCATGTAAAGCCAAAAGAGAGAAATTTTGTTTGAGTGCGATTTTGTTTTTTAAATGATTGTTGAAGTGAAATATATACATCACTTTATCTCAACGAATAAAATTTTATTTCATAAAAGAAAAATAAAATAAAATTCTAAATAATTATAATAATAAAAGAGTTCGGAATCCTTCTTTCTCGGTAACCAAACAAGAAATACAAAGTGGTTCTAGGTTGAACTTTAACCAAAAATGAAAAAAGATCATATCCAGCCATGCATGGATTATTAGCTAATGATGACAGATCAATCAAACTTTATAGTACTCTAACTAATCAACAACCCTCCTTTTTTTTTTTCTTTTTTTTTTTTTTCAACAACCCCACCTTTTTTTTTTTCTTTTTTTTTTTTTGCCTTTTTTTTTTTCTTTTTTTTTTTTTGTGTGTTAGGAACTTAAAAAAGAGCTGTAAGAATATAAAAAATAAAATGGAGGCTTATATGCCTGGGATAATACATGTATCAAAGTTTTAAGTGGTGCTTGATTAATTAGATTTTTTTAAACGGATACGAGACTGGTTATCTCATTTAAGTATTAAAAAAAAATTTAAATCTTTTCTTACGCATGTCTTATCATGTAATTTTTTTATACTTTTCATGAATTAACTGTCATGTATGTGGAAATAAAATTTTGATTTGAATGTCTTTAATGGTTCCATGATTATTGTTATGAAATTTTAAGAATTGAAGAAGTAAAAAGTTGTAAATGGGTCTCGAAAACTTTTGATAATTATAAGTTTTTTCAAATGTTAGAAAAATTTAAAAAAAAAAGGAAAAGAAGACTCTTCTAGTTTTTTTTTCTCCCAAATATATAAATTATCTAGTAGAGCCATGCATCAAAATTAGACATAAAAAATTTTTAAGGTATAACCAGAAGAAAAAGAAAAAGAAAAATAGTATCAGGCACTCTAATGTTAAAATTTGAGTAGTCTAATTTTAAAATTAAAATGGTTTAAAATTTGAGTATGCCTAATATTTTCTTTAATTTTCTTAAATTTTTAATATATTGAAAATTCTTAAAAGAAACTGTCAGTTTATTCTCATTTTCTTTTGATATTAGGCTGATTCAAGCACTTGTTGATTTTTTTTTCTACATTTTACAAAAATAAATTTATTGGACAAAAAAAATAAAAAATTGGTAGAAGTAAATAATTTTTGACTTTTTTTATTTGTTTTAAGAAAAAAGATTAGGTTTATATATGAGTAAATTTACATAAAAAAGGGAAAAAAATTCATACATTTCATAAGAATTGTTATAGTAATATTGGTATTAAGTTATGATTGGTGGGATCTAGACCATCAGAAATTGTAAAACCACAAGTCCATGACTTTTTCTAAATTTTCAGGAGCACAATAATGTCTTGTTCAAATATAACTTTGGTCATGATGGGAAAAACATGCCCTAACAGTAGGATTAGACCATTTGTGGGGGTCCCAATTGCAAAAGTATTTCTGCTCTCTTGTGCCCCAAGAGGAGTTATAATGCCCTTCTTGCATTGTTTTTTACGTTTCTAGGACAGATTCCTCGTGCCTCTAATTCCCACCACTTCCTCTTACAATGCTTTCAATTCTTTTTTTCTCTAATCATTCTATCAATACTAATAATTGTGTTTTTTTATTTTCAATACTAATGTAATTATACATTTTCTTTTTCAATAAATATAAATTAGTAATATGATCGGAGGCTTCAACTTCAATCCTGTTCCATCAACGTTATTTTTTATAGTTTTCGATAAGATAACATTTGAACTAGCTCTTAAAAATTAAAACTATTAAAACTATTGAAATTTAAACGCTACTAAAACAGCTATAAGCTACCGTAGTTTTACCTAATAGGCTATAAAGCATGAGTGACTTATTAGGCCAAATGCTCAATTACCAATACTCATAATTATGTTTGGTTAACAAGTAATTATAACATTAACACCCACATGATCCCATCACAAGTCTTGTCTTTCTGCTTTTCTCCTAATTTCTCTTTTAACCCTTTTTAAAGTTTAAATCATACCCACTTTTTCTTTTGCTCTCTTGTTGATGCAACTTCAACAAAAATTGCTAGAGCTTTCACTTTACTCTTGTTCTTAACTTTTAAGATAAACATTATAACAACACTTAATTAATATCCATTTTTATTTTTCTAATTGAGGATTAAGGGAGAACTTAGGAGAATTCTATATATTGAGTACTGAGATTTGACCAAGAACTTAAAAAAGGAGTAATGGGTTGATAAAGCATGAGTGACTTATTAGGCCAAATGCTCAATTACCAATACTCATAATTATGTTTGGTTAACAAGTAATTATAACATTAACACCCACATGATCCCATCACAAGTCTTGTCTTTCTGCTTTTCTCCTAATTTCTCTTTTAACCCTTTTTAAAGTTTAAATCATACCCACTTTTTCTTTTGCTCTCTTGTTGATGCAACTTCAACAAAAATTGCTAGAGCTTTCACTTTACTCTTGTTCTTAACTTTTAAGATAAACATTATAACAACACTTAATTAATATCCATTTTTATTTTTCTAATTGAGGATTAAGGGAGAACTTAGGAGAATTCTATATATTGAGTACTGAGATTTGACCAAGAACTTAAAAAAGGAGTAATGGGTTGCATTAAATTTTAGTGGCCCTTACTTCCCAAATGACATTAAATTTTGTATTAAAGGATGTAACATGCACACCATCACTAATTAATTAAAATATTCACACTTGTAGTTTAATTATTGTACCATCTTTTAATTTTTAATTTCAAGCGTAAAGAGTCAATATTCATATTTGGGAAAAAGAAAGGCAAATCTCTATTGCTCAAATCAAATTATGCTTGCTTTTAATCATAGGGTGTGTTGGGGAGGAGGAGTTGGTAGGGTCTAAAGACTCAATTTATGTAGTGGGGTCCAAAATTCACTATCATACTCCTCATGCCAAGCCAATGCTCCCCCACATATAATCTGCAGTAGCAAAAATAATCACACTATAACAAAGTTTTGTCCCATCAAAATAGTACCCAACAAATCTTCTTTTAGGTTCCTCTTTGTTTAACTGTCCTAAAAAAAAAAAATTCAAAACACTTGGCTAACTATTTACTGTGCCCATTAATATTTTAATCCCCCACTTTCTACAGTAAAATCCCATTAAAATGTCTTTATTTATAGTTTTTTTTTTTTTTATTATTCCTTGTAGCCTTTATATTAATCACTGAAGCCAAGGCAAGAAATTAAAGGCAAAAGCATGATCATTTCACAAAATTGTTATGGTATTTAGACCAGGTCCAAACAGCTTTTTTCTATGCCTTTCTTTTCTTTAACCTCTTTTTGAATTTTTAATATTATTTGATATGAACTGTCAAAAGTGATTAAATAAAGAACCCTTGAAGGTTTCTGCCTCAATCTTCCATTCTTTTACTTTTTTATAAACTAATTTATATTTTATAAGAATGAGATGCAGATTTTAAGGTGAGATTGATTCTTGTTAAATACAAAACATTTGCATTTTTACTTCATTGTTGCCTTTCTGTTTATCTTTCTTTTTATGTAATACAATAAAATATGAATTTTCTTCTTTGTAGAAAATTTAAGAGAGAGGCAGCTCAAAAAGCACCTAACTTGGTCTAGCTCTTAACTTAAATAACTTTTGTTTCTTTTTAGTATTGTCCAAAAGAGAGAAAGAAAGAAAAGAAGGAAAAAACCCATCTCTCCAAAATCTTCTTCAGATCTCTCCTATCTCTTGCTCTGTCCATATTATCAAGAACCCAATTGCAGTTTTCCATATATCATTAAATCAAGAAATATTTTCTTGTTCTTTACAATGAGAGATATAGTATCTTGTTTTAGTGAAAATGCCATAAATGTGTCTAATTCTTCTTGTTCTAGCTATTCAAACAATGCTTGTATTTCTCCCAGCTTCATCCCATCTGTTAAAAATGCAGTTTCTAGCTTTTACAAGATCATTCTCTCTACTCATAAACAAATCTTGGTCTCAGTCACTTGGTGCAAGAATCATACAACTCAAGGCCTTACTATAAACTTTGGCAATCGAGATTCTTCAACAACATCTTTCAAGCTTAATACCAACACAAGACTCTTCAGAAAGAAAAAGGGCAGCAAAGTTATCGAATCCGAAAATTTGAAGGTTGAAATCTTTTGGGATCTCTCTTCTGCTAAATATGATACAGGACCTGTTCCTGTTGAAGGATTTTATGTCTTAGTTATGGTTGATAATGAAATAGGCCTTGTTCTTGGTGATATAGAAGGAGAGACTATAACCAAGAAGCTCAAAACTAGCACACCAGTAGCTAAAGCAAGTCTTATTTCAAAACAGGAGCATTGTTCAGGAAATAGTACTTTATATGCAACCAAGGCACAATTTTGTGAAACAGGAATTCTACATGATATTTTGATTAAATGTAGTGGAGAAAATGAAGGGCTAAAGTACCCAGTTTTATCAGTGTGTATTGATAATAAGATGGTGATCAGAGTAAAGAGGCTGCAATGGAATTTCAGAGGGAACCAAACAATTTTTGTTGATGGATTGCTTGTTGATCTCATGTGGGATGTGCATAATTGGTTTTATAGTCCTGGTTCTGGTTCTGCTGTTTTTATGTTTAGGACAAGGAGTGGAATGGATAGCAGGCTTTGGTTGGAGGAGAAATTGGTGCAAAAAGATGAAGAAAGAATTGAATTCTCTTTGTTGATTTATGCCTGTAAGAGCTCTTGAAGGGGGAAAAGAAAAAAAACAACTGACTTTTGTTTTGTTTATCTCTTGATTCTTGTTTCTCTTCTTTCACTCTCTTTATCTGATTTTAATGTTTGTTTCTTATTTCTATTTGTTCCCTTTCTGCTTGAAAGGCATAGAGACTTAATTAGCATTCTTTTGATCACTTGAGTAATAATTTAGCTGTTTAGTTGCTGATTTGTGAATTGATATACTACAAAATTAATTATTGGTTCTGATTTTAATCTTTGTCTTCTTTTTCCTCTGTTTCTTCCCTTAGACACCTAATTTTTCTGTTTTTTGCATTGACATTTTACCAAATTATATGATGTCTTAAATATTTATTTTAGGAGAATATATCTATGTGAATGGGAAAAATTGGGGAGGTTCAAAATTATTTGAAAAGGTACAACCAAATGTGCTTTTAGTGAAAATTTTGCTAAAAGGGCAATAGGAGATGTTGAAAGACTTTGAATGAACACTGCTTTTGGCCTTAAAAGGACAAAATAAAGTTGAATCACATGATGATGATCAATGCCTTGAAACCTTCTCTGTAATTTCCAATTCTGCTTCAATTAAGAGGGTAAATAAGCAATTTCTTTAAAAAAGATTTAAGTATGTTGTGTTATGTTTGAAGCAATTATGAACAATTGAAGCTCCCTTATTAAACCAAGTTTGAGCAAGCTTGTGAACTTGCACCTGACATGATTCAATTTCAATCAAGGGTCCTTAAATCTTATTGTCTTCATTCAGAGGTAAATTTGGTGCACCGTTTAGGTTTCTTTGTACCTCTATGGTCCCCTCATTATCATTCAAGTTACAAATTTTGGACCACTAATAAAACCAATAGCTTGCCAAGGACAGACAGAACTGCAGTGAATCAACTGTAGACTTGCACTTCTAAACTTGTAGACATATATTTTTTTTTCTGTAGTCTCTGATTCAATTTATTTCACACTCACAGGATACAATGTTTATGTATTTTCCCCTAAACTCACTACAAGTTATATCTTAGGTTGCTCTCTACACTTTGTATTGTAGGATTCAATTTATAAAGAAAATTGGAAAGTTTGATACTTTTTCAATCGAAATGCAGTTTATGGATATGTCTGTTTATCGTTGTAGAACATCAATGTTTGAGTTCCATCAATGAAAGATTCAAAATAATAGGAAAAAATAATTTAATGAGGGCAAAAAATAAAAATTCGATGCAGAAAATTTAAATTATCATAATTATATACATTAAAATATAAAAAACTATAGACTAAAATATCAGGAGATTGAAATGTGGCTAAGAAAATGAAATGTAGCTGTAGAGTTACAAGTGCACTTATGATAAGATTAGAACATGATTTCACAGCTTTGATGATACTGACTAATCATTGTAACTTATCATCAAAGTCATCAAAAATAATCTAGCAGATTATCAGTTTTAGCATTTTGATTAACCGTCAAAGTTTTAAAAATTATAATTGGGATAATAGTTTAGCGGATCAGTGCATAAAGTTGAGATTTAAATATTTGATACTATTTTTCTTTTTTAAATTATGATATATAAAAATGTATTGAGAATCATATATGGTAGCATTTGAATAAAAAATGATTCATATTTTTTTTTAGTGTAAACTACCACTATCGGGACCCATCACTAAAGACCACTTAATTCAATTTGGAATTTAGTCACACTTAAGATGGCTCAGAATTTAGTCACTGTTAATACTCTTTGTCCCTTTTTATAGATGCATTCAGTAGAAATTGAACTCTAAAACTCTTCCTACATACCTAATTTGCGTTGTTAATTGAACTCTTCCTATTATGCATAATAGCAGTAGAAGGTCGAAAGTAAGAGATTGAATATGATACTCCCTGAAATGTTGTTGTCTTAGTATTAGAAGGTAAACACTGTTAACAGAGAAATTGAGGCACCTTTTATTATACGACAGGTCTAAAAGAAAGACAGGCTTTTGACTAGAAAATTTTACTGTGGCAGCCATCATTGGTCAATTAAAGAAAATGTACCAAAATTCATAGTTAGGTGTTGTAGCACAATTGCATAAATGTGGACAAATTCAGAGAATTTCTCTCATTTATTCAACTTCTAGACAAGCCAATGAAATTCATCATCACTTACTTCCCAAAAAACATGGCAAAAGAGAAAATTTTGGAAAGGCAAAGGTTATCAACTCAAGTATGTTAGGTATTTGTAGACTTAATAATAATAATAATAATAATAATAATAATAATATTGTATCTTTCATTTCAGAAAGAAATTCAAACTTAGGCCTTTCATTCAATATTTATTAAATTTATAAATTTCAAAAATTAAAATTGATGATAAAAATAGCAACCTAATGATTCGATATCGATATAATAATATAGAAAATGAAGGATTATATATGTTTTAATAATTATTTCCTTATAAAAAATTTTTGGCACTGAAGTTAGGGAAACGTAGAGAAGGTGCCGGTCAACCCATGGCATTACAGAAATGTAGTGCGAACCCAACCTTAGACGTTGAGAGTTGATAGACGATCACTCACGCCTATCTTCCAACAATTGGAATGGACCACTCTCTTTCCTAGTTTGAAAGGCCACCATCATTCTTTTTCTTTTTTACCCATGCATTCATTCCTTTTCCTACAAGGAACCATCACCATTTTTCTTAAGACATTTCATCAATAGATATTGTTTTTTCTTGGGTATCGTTTAATGATTTTTGTTCCTAAAGTAATAGAAAAAATAATGAGTTTTAAGTTTTTTTTTTTTTTAAATTATGAGCCACCGAAGTTGATATTAAGGTGGTTGCGTTTGCCTACTTATTTGCTTCATATCTCTTTCTTTCTTTCTTTCTTTTTGAAGCGAATCCTTAACATCCCTTTCATGCTCGTCCAATTCAAACATAAAAGTCTATTGAGTTTGTATTCTCCAGATTAGAAGAAACTGATCATTTCTAATGATTTGCTGTCAAGTAGGCAAACAGCATTACTGCATCACTTTGCTAGACAAGCCCATCAATGTGGGCCTTAATGGGCCTAATGGGTTTCTTCTTATTTCCCTATGCAAAAGTCATTATTGCAACACATAACCTTTTTTCAAAGGAAAAGGTTGTTAATTTGAAAAATTCAATGATTGAAGTACTAACTCAATGACTCAATAGTTCTATTTAGAAATCGACATAAATAATTAAGAGGTTATATTGCTCAAAACTTGAATTAGTCCTAGGATATATTGTATCGACAAATCTTTTAAGATGAATGAAATTTTCAATTCTGAGGTAAATTTTATTTTTAAATGATTTTTATTTGCAATACAAATTTAGGTTCACTGTGAATTTAAATGTACATCTATCAAATAGATGTCAAGAAATTTTAAATTTTTTGTTGTTGGGTTGATTTGATTTAAACCTTACTTTTACTAATTTAGAGGTGGAATGGATTGCCCATATGGTATTTTGGCTAATATGATATGATATGGCTTGGTTTTTGAATGTAAATTTTGTGATCTTTTATTTGCCTGTTTTGAAGGGAACAAAAAATATCCGAGGAAACAGTCTAGTAACACAGATGGCGCAGACATGACCAAGAAGTTGCAAATCCACCATAATTGTTGCAAAGCTTTTAGAATGACCACATATCCTCGTCTTCCTCCTCTTCTTAGCTCTCTTCCTCCCTTCTATATCTCAAGAGCAATCTTGGATTTCTAATTAATTGTTCTCTGTTTCTCAAAACTAAACAAACAATAAAGATCAATCATGTCTTGCTTTAAGGGAAAGTATCATGGTGATTACTTTTCTTTTTCTTTTGCAGCCATTCCCTTCATGGGTTTTGATTGTTCGTCTTAAATGATTTAATTTTTTTATTATCTTTATATCCATAGTTTTCAATTCTAATTATGTATCAAGAAGAACAATGGGAAACTGAGTGAGGATCCTATTCCTTGGTTAATGGATTCTTAGTTTTAAAGTAGTGTTAGAGGAACTTAATTAAGAGTATTGCTACTTGGAAAGAATCATTCAAATTTTTTACTATTTGCTTTGATGTTATCTGCATGACCATAGAAATCAAATTTCCTAGGAGGATTTGATGCTGGGTTAGAATGTGATATACAGTTCTTCACAATTATTAACAGCAAGTTTTTAATTTTTAAAAGAATATATTTTTCTAATATTCTCCCTTTGGACTCTGCTGAAACTCGTGCTAAAAAGTTGGTTTGAACTTCAAAATGTTTGTGCAGATGAATTGATTGCCAATGCTGCTTATATTGGCACTCCCGGAAAGGGAATTCTTGCAGCAGATGAATCAACAGGCACAATAGGCAAGCGTCTAGCTGCCATCAATGTCGAGAATAATGAGCCCAACAGGCGTGCTTATCGCGAGCTCCTCTTCTGTGCTCCAGACGTCCTCCAATATCTCAGTGGTGTAATCCTTTTTGAGGAAACACTTTACCAGAAATGCGCTGATGGTAAGAGCTTTGTTGATGTTCTCAAGAAAGGAGGGGTTCTTCCTGGAATCAAAGTTGACAAGGGCATCGTTGAGCTTGCTGGAACTAAGGGTGAAACATCAACTCTTGGTCTTGATGGCCTAGCTGAGCGCTGCCAGAAGTACTATGAAGCTGGTGCTCGATTTGCTAAATGGCGAGCTGTTCTAAAGATTGGTCCAACTGAACCATCTCAGCTTTCTATTAATGAGAATGCAAATGGCTTGGCACGCTATGCTAGTATATGCCAGGAGAATGGCTTAGTACCTATTGTTGAGCCAGAGATTTTGGTGGATGGATCCCATAATATTGATTGCTGTGCAGACGTGACCGAACGTGTTCTTGCAGCTTGCTATAAAGCACTAAATGATCACCATGTCCTTCTTGAGGGAACTCTTTTGAAGCCAAACATGGTGACCCCAGGCTCAGATTGCGCGAAAGTTTCACATGAGATGGTGGCCGAGTATACAGTCAGGGCTTTGCAGCGAACCGTTCCTCCTGCTGTTCCTGCTGTTGTATTCCTTTCTGGTGGACAGAGTGAGGAGGAAGCCACTCGCAATTTGAATGCAATGAACCAACTCAAAGGCAAAAAACCTTGGTCTCTTACTTTCTCTTTTGGCCGTGCTCTTCAGCAGAGCACTCTCAAGGCATGGGCAGGAAAGGAGGAAAATATAAAGAAGGCACAGGCTGCTTTGCTTGTGAGATGCAAAGCTAATTCAGAAGCTACTTTAGGTACTTACAAGGGTGATGCTAACCTGGGAGAGGGTGCTGCAGAGAGCCTCCATGTGAAGGATTACAAATACTGAGCCCTGCAAGAAGGTGATTTGGAGGTTCTTCATGTGAAGAACCAACACTAAATCCATTCCTACTCTATTTTAATGAGTTAGGAGAGATATTTAAAGAACTAGTTTTTCTTTCTATTTGCTTTTGTGATTGTAATGATCCTCTGGTGAACCATGTTGAGAAAATGTCTCATAAAATGATTTGCCAGATTTTGCCTACAGATTTTTCAGTTTAATAATCTCTAAATTGATGATTTTGAATCATTCTGTAGATGGAGATTTACTTATAATATTAAAGAATCGTAATCTTCCTTTTTCCTGTCATTGTTCAATTTATTCCTACTCTTTTCAATAGAAATTTCAACCTTCTTGTTAAATTCAAGTTGCTCACCGGTGAACTTTTAATGTCATTCCAGGCTAAGGATATGGTTTGAATGCACAAATTTCAACATTTGGATTCTTTTTGTTGGATGTTATTTTCACTCCCATAATGTGTTTCAGTTCTCTCAATAATTTTGCTAAGCCTGTGTGTGTCTGTCCCACTGTAGCTATCAGCTCTGTCATGATTATTTTTGTTTGTATGCCTTTTTGGATGCTTTTATTTTGTAGACATTTTCCTTTAGTTGGTACCTGGACTTATTAATGTTAATGATTGGGAAGGTTGATGGCAACTGGCTACTGGCAAGGAAAGAGAGCTAGACCTATTCATGGCCGGGCTTGAGCTTGGGAAATGGCAAAGGCCCAGACGCTGCACCCACAATTTTCAATACAAATTAAAGCCCGTTTCTCGGCACACGAACAGGCATCCCTTGTGTGTTCAAAGAACAGTGGTCGATGGATCCATCATTAGCTATGAACTATTAAAGAGAGAAAAATTGGTAAACCTAGAACTAGAATTTGGATTGGATTTCTGATACAACATTAATGAGAATTGAAAAAAGCAACAAATATTTGGTATAAGCTCAGTATTTTAGTTTCTTGTATCAAAAGTCCGTGAAGGAAACAAAGATTACAATGAAAGAAAGTACAGAGATGAGTACATTGTTACCGAATTGCTTGACTGATCCAGCTATAGAAATGACCTTGTCTTCTGCAAAAGAACCATAAACCACCAAACTTACATAAACTGCAGAAAGAATAAATCAAAATAAAAAGTGAAAAATTTTGAGAGATTTATGCACTTACTACACTCTTTAGGATGACATATACACCTCAGTCCAACTCCACAATTTCCATTAGGCTTTTGGCATTCGTTGCAGATATCTGGCACATGATCAGGAATGTCGAAAGATATCCTGCTCCCTAACTCATATTCACTGTAGTCATCATCTTTCGAAGAACTTCTGTACACCAGTCTGTAATGCGAACAATTCAAATCTTTTGGATGAAAACCCCCGTCAAGCTTTTCAATGTCGTTGACTAGTAAACATGAGTAAGGGACTTCAAGTTCTTGCTCTTGATTTTGAGAAGAAGCTGCAAAAGCCTTCAAGCGACTGCAGTTACCTATAAAAGATGTCCCTGGATGATTTTTGCTTGAGCAGTTGAAGAGAAGAAGTGAGTTTGGCGTTAGAGGAGTAGGAAAACCAGCTAATAGAAGAGCAGGAGAGATAAAATGTTGTGAAGAAGAGCGAGAAGGGTGAGAAATGGTTAATGTTTTAGTTGTGTAGTTGACTGAAGAAACTGGAAAAAGACCAAGAGAGGTTCTGAAGTACAACTTATGAGATCTGCATAGCATCGAGTGATTTAAAAGGGATGAAACAGTTGAATTAGAACTGATAAATGGAATCTGAATTGGGATTTTTCCGCATAAGATTGAAGATGTGTGTTGGGACAGACAAGTGATGAAGAAGAGATTGAGGATTAGAAGCTGGAGAGAACCTAAAAATTTGAGTTTCTTGAAGGTATGCATTTCCTTTCCTTTTTCTTTGGTTTGATCTTCCAAATGGTAAAGAAAATTTCTAAGGTTCTTGGGCTTGGTGGTCAGAATAGATGATAAAGAATCTACTTTAATCTTGCAAGGGATATAACTTTCTGCCTGGTTTTTTCATATTCTCTTCTGGCAATGATCTTTGACAATCAAAATAACCATACTTCCATATCTTTTTTCTTTTTCTTTCTTTCTTTTAGTATTATTACTATTATTTCTTCCTTTCGTTATTCTTTTCTTCTTCTTATTATTATTTTTTGGGGTATGAATTTATAATGCCACAAAAACCTTTTATTTTATTCTGCTATTCCACTTTGCCAGTACTTTTACTATCCTTTATTTAGATTCTGTATGTTTCATCCTTTTCTCTCACTATTCTTAGTAACTTATGATATCTCACTGACTGATGGGTCATTAGACCATATGTTTGGTCACCTCTCATTTATAAGCCCATATTTTATATATATATCAAAATTTTATTTTCGCATATTATCTTTACTTAGTTATTTGCATGTTTTTGTTGAGAAATTAATAAAGATTGAGGCAGACAAAGATATAAGATTTTAGGTATACAAAGGTGAATTTTTTTTTTCTCTCGATAAATGCATTTTCCAGATATTGAATTTGTATTTTCAGCCTTACAGGAATTGAGTTCACTTGCTGTACCAACTTACCCCTAACCAACACATTGTTGGTCAAGAACATATGTATTCTAATTATACAGTTGTAAGCAGCGTATGCACATGAACTTATTGAATCATTTAAGTAGAGACAATTATGATTTGATCACATAGTCGTGATTTCGTCGACATAATGCACACGAACTTAGTGAATCATTTTGTTTGTCGACAAGTGGAAATACTAATGGACACATCAAATCTCATAGTAGGTAGTCTGTCTATTCATTAAAAAAGCAAAATGATGATCATAAAATAAGAAAACATTTCAGTGGTACAAGATTTGATGCTGAAATTGCATGGAGAGTCACAGAAATTAAAATAGCCAGCCACAAACAATTATACGTACAAAACTAACATATATAATTAATAATAGACACTCGCACATATATCATAAGAAACAACCAAATACTAGTTCTTTTTATTATTGTCATTATCTCTAGATCTTATTAGATCATGCAGGTGGTTTGATCTGAACAGATGGGAAACTAAGCACCACAATTTTCTCAATAGCAGCTGAGAATGTAGCAGAATATTCAACATGACTGGGATGGGTTTGCAATGCAGTGTGGTCTTCTTTCTTCTCAAATGTCATTGTGAAGGCATGAGTGAAGCCTTGAGTTAGCATCTCTGGCCCTTCCAAATCCTGTCCCCTGCTAATAGAAAATAAAAATATGAAGCACTTCACATGTTATTTATTGGTATTTGACAGAAAACCCTCAGAAAAACTAGCCATTAAGATGGAAAGAGCCCAAAATCTACCTCAGGCTAAAGGTATTTATCCCTGTCATGCTCTCTATGTTACTGATATGAGATATTCGGACCATAGTGGGATCTTTCAGTAACCTTATATAGTATATATTGATATGAGAATGCATGCTTCACAAATTAAGAAACCTAATCTTTATCCTGTTATTGATTTGTAACTATGAAGGTTATAGAATAAGCATGTAATGAAGGACTTACCATTCAAAGGACTTGACAAGATCAATCTCAGAAACAAGTTTCTCCATTCCTTTCATAATCTCCTCCACCACAACACCTTCCTTAAACTTAACAATCACTAAATTCTTGAACCCTGCCATGGTAGCTGGACTATTACATACATGAACCAGAAATATGTGACTAAACCCTAGTATATATATACAAGAAAAAAGAAAGTGAAAGACACTTATTGTTCATGTGTCAACTTCCACAGTCCTACCTGTCTAGTGTCCACTGTCATACCCAATGAGACATTTCACACACTTCCTTTATGTTGTTAGCAAAATTTTTTTTTAAAAAAAGACCCTTTCTTGGACAGAGTCGGCAGCTTAATATATGGGAATGGTACAATACATTGCATGGAGTATAGACCCACTAGACAGCAACTTCATTGCTCCACCTCACAGTAAAATTTGTCCTCATCACCATTGTCTCGTAATCTTTGCTTTTGCACATGAAAATGGGGTCCTTTGAATGGGTAGTGCTATATATAATTTCTTGAAATTTGAATTCTCAGGGGGGAGGTTGGTCCCTTTTATTTTTCATAGATGTTATCATAACATGACAGGCCTTATAATTTTTATTTTCCCATCAATATATATGTATAGAATGAAAATAGGAAGGGTACTTTTGCTTCAACAGTAGCTTTTCCTTCTCCTCTCTGAATTCTAGACTAAAATTAATACTCATTACTGGACTTTTCTCCATGTCCTTCCCATGTGCTTCAAGATTATATTATTGGACTTTATTACATGGATGGCATGTCTCTGCTTATCTTTAAGGAATCTTTATTTTAAAGCCTGTTTCACAAAAGAAATCCAAGTTGTGAGGTTATTATCATTTGTATTATCATGATATATATATTGGGTCATTTTTATTTTTATTTATTTTTTTGTTATTTTTCTTTTAAATTTGATAATAAATTATCATTTAAATTAAAAAATAACCATTATACTCTGGGACAAAGCCATAAATTTATAAATTAGGTAAGCAAATACCTAAGCTCTAAATTGAAATAGAAAATAGTCATGAGTGTTTTAGATTCTCTTAGACAAGATTAGCTGTTTTGATAGCTTTTAACTGTTTTAGTTGCGTTTAGCTGCTAGCTGTTTTAGTAACTTTTCATATAATACTAAGATTATATTCGACAATAATTTTTTAAGTAGATTTTAGTGTTTCGATCAGTTAAGGTGCTAAATGCTAACATTTAGCTTTTAATATTTTATGAAACACTATTCAAAAATTAACAGCTAAGGCTACTAAAATAGCTACAAAATAATTAATTTTGCCGAAAAAACTCTAAAAAGTTAAATTATAAAACATAGCTGTTCGCGGATACAATTTTAAAATATTGCAGGTCTTGGGTTAAACATATGGGACCCTCTAGCTTTGACTATGTTCATATTATTACTTTGAAAAACTCTGGTCGAAGTTAAGCAGCATATTCATTTTGCAATTGAGATGATTTTTGATAGTAATTGCCTTTTACATATCAATTAGACGTATGATTATTAATTTGCCAACTAATTGCACTCCAAACTTTGTCTAATAGCTTTTGGCTATAACCTTATTAAGTCAATTCAAAAGATTTGTTTAGATTCTCAGCTAAAGCTATGGACATTTGCTTTTTAAAACTTTAGAACCAAATTGTTAGAACTTGGCCAATGTTCAATTCAATTGCTTTGAAGTCCCATTTCTTCAAACTTTTGGATACTTTATGAGCTGTTTAGTCTCGTATCCGTTTTACCGGTCCACGGTAAATTCAATTTATTTTCATTCATCTTTGGGGGCAAAGAGACTCACTCGAAAGAATTTATATTTACAAAAAATCAAAGCAAATACCTTAAACTATAGGGATCAACCCGCAAGTACTCTCTGTTATTGAAATGCCCCATTCAGGTTCCCATTCCTTCAAACTTCGTTGACTAATTAACAAAGGGTAGTTGCCCTTTTATGGTAATCCTGAGAGATTAAAAAATTTTAACTCTCTGAAACTACTCAAACGTTGGGGACCATCTTACAAACTTAAAGTGGTCTTATATTGAATATGCTTTCAAGTACGGATTATCCAATTTATATAATTATATAAAGAAAAAAATGATGTCACTGATTTTAACCTGGATATTGATGGTGATTTTACTATTAGTTCTATTTCAGTTAGAGTTGCAAGCTCAACCAGAGACATTGGCAATCCACTTTTGTAATCCTCTTTAATAATTCAATATCTTGTCTACTTATCTACCACATTTTCAAAGCTCTTGTCCAAACCATTATGAGGTTTGGATAATTGCCAATGTAGAAATTGAAAGCAACAGGTTTATTTATCAACCAAAATTCCCTGTTTTGTATTTACATTTGTTGATTAAATTGATTACTGGTGACTAGTAGCTATTTAGAGTTAATATTGATTAATCAACACATAGTTAGACACCTGAATATATTTTGGCGCTATTCCGTAAAATTAACTGCTTTATTAGCTATTAGTTATTTTGGTATCGTTTTTAAATATTTAAATAGCTAGTGGCTATTGTAGTAGTTTTTCATAAACCACTAAAAGTTAAACGTTATAAAAATTAACCTTCTATAAAACGTTATTTTAACCTTTAAAAGTTAATTCAAATACTATATTATCAAATATTATAAAAATATCATTTAAAACGCTAAATGGTACTTAAAAAACTATTACTAAACACAGCTTTCATCTCTAAAAATTCAGATATTGGAAACAATTTCTCTTTCAGTGTGGATACACGGGCAAACCAAAAGGTTGACATTACTTAACATTTTAGTTTTCATTGAATTAGAAAATATTTTAAATTATTATATTATTCAAAATTAAGAGATGCTAGAAATTCCTAACCTTGCTTCATTGGAGCCACTTAGTTGACAATGTTTAGTGTCACTCTTAATTGGAATTTTACTGCCATTTGGACAAAAAAGAAAAGTTCAACAGTTGCAGCTTTTTGACCTAATAAAGTGTGGTATTCTTGGTACATCGCTTTTTAAAATAATTTAAAATAGCTAGTGCGCTATGTAAGTATAGTTTTTACCAATAACCAACTAAAAGTTAAAACGTTTATAAAAAAACCTTCTATAAAACGTTATTTAACCCTTTAAAGTTAATTCCAAATACCTATACTTATCAAATAATATAAAATTAATTAAACGCTAAATGGTACTTAAAACTATTACTAAACACAGCTTTCATGCTTCTGAAAAAATTCCAGATATCTGAAACAATTTCTCTTTCACCGTGTGGATACATCGGGCAAACCAAAAGGTTGACTTAACTCTAACAGTTTTATTTTCATCTGAATTAAGAAAAATATTTTAAATTTTTAATTATTCAAAATAAGGATGCTAATTCCTAAACATGCTAGAAATTCCTAACCTTGCTTCATTGGAGCCACTTAGTTGACAATGTTTAGTGTCACTCTTAATTGGAATTTTACTGCCATTTGGACAAAAAAGAAAAGTTCAACAGTTGCAGCTTTTTGACCTAATAAAGTGTGGTAATTTCCTTAAAATTAGACACAGAAGAATCTTGTTTAATACCCAAAAAAAGGAAAAGCTTATTATGGCCCTTTCCCAGAGGCAGAGGCATAGACTAGCATTCAATTTTTTGTGGGTTAAGTGACTCTCACTCTGTCTGGCACCAACCAGGGTAAATCAATGTCCAGGGTAAATCAATGTTCTTTCTTTCTTTCTTTTTTTTACCTCTCCTCTGATTTGAGTAGGGGCCAACAAATTTTGGTTCTAACTCACAAACTGAACATAACATATGATAAAAAGAAAAAGTTATACAGTCATAGAAATACAACAATATTTTAAATTGTTTTAAAAATCCTTTATCACCTGTCAAATTTTTTACTGAAGAATTTTTTTTTTTATTATTAGTCATAGAAGTAAGATATGAATAATCAAAAATTGCTATTGAATGTAACGTGTCCTCTAATGGGGTGTGATATAAACATTTATGGCGTGTTTCGTATTGTAACTAAAGATATAAATGCTTAGTAAAAATTCTGATCATAAATGTCGAGCGAAAATTTTGAGTATTAATTATATGGTCAAATGACTTTTTGAGCAAATTACTAATTTGAGTAATGTCTTATAAAGTACTGTTACTTTAATTTTAAATTTATGCTTATATATGATATCTTTTAATTTATTTCGATCTATATCATATTAGTATCATATCTTATATATTTTTATAAAAATATCTCATATTTTTTATGCATAAATTATTTTTTTTAAAAAAAGATGAAGATTCAATTTGATTTTTCTCATTACATCATTATAAGACATTAAAAAATAAATTTATTACAACTCACTCCTAGATTTAACAAAAAAAAAAAAAATGAAGTGATTAAATCATAAAACCCTTTTTATCTTTTACCATCGAACTTTTCACCAATTTGAATTGGATTAAACTTTATTAGAAATCAATTGGATTGGTGTTTTTAATTTTTATCGATATTCAAAAATAAAATTCTATGGGTTTCAATATCAATTTAGAATCATAATCAAATCTTGAGTCTATTCAGTTGAGTAAATTCAGACGGTTTCCATTTTGGTTGAGTTTGGATTTAGGGCATAATATTATACACCCCCGAAAAGGAACTCAAAATCAAGTTTTCTCATGCACCAAAAATCACCTTGCCGACATGGGAAGGGCAAAAGCCCCTCGTGTAAGGAATAATTGGGTTGAGTACACGTCATATCTGACAGGGGCAGTTTGCCCTAAAACATTGAACAATAAGTTTGATTTTGTACAGTCAAAATTCAGAGAGAGGAGAGGTGAGTGGGGATTTATGTATAGATAGTGTTTGTAGGGTTTTGCGTAGTAGAGATTTTTAGGACACATTGGTTATGGACAATAGCTTCAGGACACTGCCTCCACCTGCAACCCCACGTTTGCCTTCTTTGGTCAATACAACTCCAACCAACACAATAATACTCAGGACACTGCCTCCACCTGCAACCCCACGTTTGCCTTCTTTGGTCAATACAACTCCAACCAACACAATAATACCTTTCTTTTCCCTTGGGAAATCAAACATCACCAATGCGTTGAAAACGACGTTTCATTCCTAATAGTTAGTTGTGCGTGATTCTCGGTCTCTATTTAACAATCCAAACATATGGATTCATTGCGCTCGGATAGTTATTTTAAAATTTTAGTTATCAATCCATTTGAGTATATAAACCATTTGATTGTATATTTTTATTTGGTTACCATATATAATCAACCGAATTTATTTTTAATCTAAAATAATTTATTCTTTTGAAATAACTGAATTTAAATTGAACCAAACTAATTTAATTCAGTTTGAATCTTATTACACCATTTGTTTCAGATTTAGATACCATAAAACATATTCAAATAAACTAAAACCGAGCTAATTCAGTTTAGCTCATTTTGGTTAACCGAATCCTCGACCCTACTTATAGTTTTTGGTTGTCACTCTTATGTCTATATCTCGAGCCGGACCTAATCAATTTACTTTTCATTTAGCCCAAATCCAGTTTTGCTCGAAACAAATTTGTACGAGTCTGGCCCGAACTCATAGGCAGATCCCAGTGGACTTTGGCAAGTATCCGCAAGCTTTGTCCTATCACTCTCTGTCTAAGCTTGGCCCAACTAGAACTGAATTTATTGGTGGAATCCGCCTAAACAAGGGTCAGACTACTAAAAAAGATTGGTTAGACCAGAATTTTTTCTTTTGTTTTTTCTTTTTAACAGTAGAG